AATATAGTGACAACTATACAGTATGTACATATATTATATGTTTTCGTTGGCAAGGTTTGATGGCTCAACTCAGCTGTGCCCATGTAAATGTGAAACTCAGCAGGCCCTCCTTGCAAAATTAGGCATCCGGAAACTTTGAGCCTCAATTTCCACTCTGCTGAACCGAGATTCAGGACCACCAGTTCCCATGGGAAGAAATGGGAATGCGCTGTTTGGCCGTTGATTTGGGGGGACCCCTGTACATGAAAGAAAACAAGGGCACACCTGGAAACCTGGGAGAGACATCCTGAGGCATACTCAGGTTTCCTGCTTGAAATTCTGCAATTCCTAATCATTGTCAGGAATCCCCAGGTACAGGATCATCATGGTGAATTCGAAAACTTGAAGTAAGACTCCCCAAGCAACAGCACCCTCATGGGCTCATGGGTTTGGGCTCATACCCCGCGCGCCGGCGACAGACTCCAAGCCTTGCCCACCATGCTGCTCCGCATCTGGGATGGGCAATCGGGATAATTAGGGCAAAAGTAGATGGCACACAATTCGTTATAATAGGGACGACTACATCAAAATGGCTGATGATATCGTCTGCTTTCACCAAACTGCATCCCAAGCGAACCTATTTCAACTTGCCTTTCGCTATTCATGGGTGCAATCAGCAGGCAACAGGTTGAACGACCTGAAGAAGCTGGCGAAGCTGGCAACAAACACGCCACCTTACCAAGGGTTGCAAAGAAAAACAACCACTCGGACAAAATCACACTTTCTGATTCCAACATGGACTGATTCTGATGACTACTTTCTCGTTTTGAAGGACATTCCCTTCGCAGCACCGAAAGGGACGCCAAAGCATGTTAAGCATGTGAGCCACGGTCAAGGGCACGTTTCCTGAAAAAAAGGCGTGGGAAAGCTATTTCGTGCCCTAGTTTCGGATGCTTTTGTCTATTCGTGAGTTTCCATGTCCCTCCCAAATGGACCGTAGACCACTGGCGATTCATGCCTGCGCCCCGGCCTTCACAGCCTCAAGCGCCTGCGTTCGCTTCTCCTCTGCAGCCTCGGCTCGTGGCCGAAGCGAGGCGCTCGTGTACGTGCGCATGCCGAGGGGGCCAAGGACCTGTTTCAACATGTCTAAATCTCAGTTGGGTGGTTTGGCAAACAAGAGCAGATTTGCCAGTACAATGCTGCAGACCCACACCTGTTTGCTTCCTTGTGCAGGGAACCTATGGTCTGGTCATGGTCTGGTCGCCCCAACACACATAATGGTGTCCCCTCGTTCCCTACTATGATGGAAGCTGCAAGCATCGGGACATGCTTGAATCAATATTTAACAGCCTTATGCTGGTTTCCCAGTGAACACGACATGGTCAATCACCACTTCCCAATGGAAATCTATCTTTTTGGATTCATTGCCTGCGATGCTGACTCCTGATGAATACTCTCGTTATTGATCCGGAGTGTCCGTGTTTCGGGATTTCAATGTCCCAGGGGAACTGCTTGCCAACCTCTGGTACTGATCCGCTCAGTCGGTCTAGACTCCTGGACATTGACGTTTCGCTGCTTCAGCACGAAGGAGCCGAAGCCAAAGAGTTTAAAGGTTGGCAACTGAACGGGTAAGGGTGTGCTAGTGAAAGCTTTTCTGCCGCACCAACTAAACACGATTCGGAGCAAGGCACTTGAACGCAGACCAAGAACAATAAACAACAATAGACTCAATAGACACTCCCTTGCTCGCTCGAAGGCCAGGGTTGGCCACCTTGCAAAAGGACAACTCAAGCACTCAGCGAGGGGTTCCAACCTGTACAGTATCTGACCAGCAAAGGGGCCAAAAGGAAACGTCTCCAAAAACGGCAATCCACAGAAAAATGTGTTCTGCCCTTTCAGTTCTCTTTAGCACGTCCCATGCACAATGGTACCCTCAAAGTTTTTCCATCACACCTTTCCCAACCCGGCTCAAAAGGAACTGTCTTTTTTCCGCCGGGTTCAGACCGAACGGTTCTGACAACCTTTCTAGTTGAACGGCCCAATTTGGGCGTGCTGCTTGTTTCAGGGTACGCCTTTTGAAAACCACCATGGGGGTCCACTTAAGAAAGTCACACCCATTGTGTGTCTCAAGGCCACCCTTCTGGCCGCTTCTCGGGCTCCCGCTGCCTCAATGGCCGGCGGGAGCGCTGCCCGACCAGCCTGGGACTCTGAGGGGCGCCCCTCAGGTGCCGATGCTCTGAATCAATATGGGAAGCAACCAAGGAAAGCCGCCATCAAAAGGCTACATCTGTGGAAAACCCTGGTGTCAAACATGGCCAGACTTAGACGCCCTGAAAAGAGTTTGCTTGCTTCCTGAGTGTAACGGGAACTGAAGAGAAGCTGCAAAGGCAAAAGGATAAAACGGTAGGCTAAGTCTCGCGATGCGGTTTCTTCATTCTGTCTTCCTTCATGATTTGTTCTTCCCATTCATCCCTTTCTCTCTCCCCTTTCTGTTCTAGAGCAATTTGTGGGTGCGCTTGTGGCTGTTGCCTCCCGATTATTCTCCGTGGCTGGTGCTCTCTTAACCCACTCGTCTGCCCCAACTTTAGGGGTGGATCTTGAAAATCTGAAAAGCACCCTGCATGTATGGGAGGTTCTCAAAATGGGATTTGGGCATTTTTTTGGGCATTAAAAGGGACACCAAAAGGAAACCAGCCATCTTAGGCCCCAATTCAAAAACACCCATTCACCTCGAACATCACCAACCACCAAAAGCAGTCTAACTTTGAATGGTTCTTTGAGGGGAAAAAGATTCCCAAAGGTGATATTTGCATGGCTCTTCTTGGGGTCTGTTTTGAAATAGACCCCTGCCCCAGCTTCGGCGGACTCTGCCCAAGAAGCATCCCATGAGAAGTTCTAACATTCTACGAAACACCGAATGCAGCTGTGTTGCTACGGCTCTGAAACAGTACATAAGCGACTCTTGTTTCATCTTTGGCTATGACAGCTTTTTGCAAAATCCCCATCATGGTCATCAACAAAAGTTGAGAACTGCATTCGTTGCTGCTGCTTGACAACAAGGAACACGTTTGTTGGTTTCCGTTTGAACATCCTTGAGCCGTTCAGTGCCAATCCATGGGACACTTCTCCCGAGCCTTGAGACGAAGTGAAGGTGGAATCACCTGGCGCAACGCTTTCCAAATCCAACGGAGTCACCAAAGAAAAGCTCCGACCCCATCCCATGTAAGCTGCCAGCGGGGTCTTGGAAGACTGTCCTTTTGCGGAAGCCTCCCGTGTTTGTTGCAGCAAGGGTAGCAAGGGTTTAATGATTTGGCTGCTACTTGGGGTCCCCTTGGAACCTTCTTTGTCGGGGTTATTCCCTCATTGTAAGAACCAGCTGCCAGGAATTTCAATCGGAAGCTGGCCACGTACCGACCAAAACCGAAGATTCCCTGTAGAACGTCCTGTTAATCTCTTGGAGTTGAGGGACCCAGCAAGTGTCAAAAAGGGGGACCGCGAACATATTTCATATTCCATTGGGTTTCCGAAATGCCAACCTTTAAACTGGTGCGACTCCAAGGTGCGACTCAAAACCAACACACTATTTCCCGTATGACTTCCATCATAAACGCTTTACACGACCCTCCAACACGTTGCCCTACACAGCCCTGCCGACTTCGAGCCTGGTCCCAGATGCCAAGGAGCTGGATGCCCGCCACCGAGCCAGCGGACCTGGCACTTCCTTTGGTGCCGCCCCCTCGGCGCGGCCGCGCGGTGCGAGGCAACATATCTAGATCCTCCAGTAGAGAGGTTGGAATAAGGCTACCCTGTTTCTGTCCATTTTAGTAGGGGCACCCTCCCCCCAAAAAAGAATCGGTAAAAGGGCACTACTGGGGGACCTAGATATTCTAACGGGTGGTAGCTGGAAGCACTGCTAAGCATCATGTAAAAGCTAGACATAAGAAAGACCCTGGTTAGAGTGGCAACTGGAACTGGGCGGTGTTCAAAAAGGTCTACCCAAGTCCATTTGAAGGCTAAAAGGGCGGATAGCCATGCCCATTGCAGGTTGGAACTGTCCCTACCCTCTACCCAAGTGTTGGCTATGGCTCACGTGTCTGCCAAAATGGACACCCCAAAACTGACATGGACATGGACGCCCATTCAAAGAAAAGCCGAAAAGCATCCAGGCAACATGATGTAGACCTCTAAAAGCGGCACGGCTTCCCTCACCCCGCCCCACCTGCCCACCCCACCCACCTTCCCCAGCCCGCCCCGCCCCACCCCACCCCACCCAGGGCGTGTTGGGGTCTCAAGATTTGGGGCCCCTTCTGAAAAATTCAGGGTCTGTCAAAACTAGGGACCCCATTTGCCACCCCATGGGATCCGTTCTTGTATGCGGAAGAAGAATCAAAAGGACCCCTGCATTTAGAGAGCTTTGAGACACCCAAGCCGATCGTTTGGGGACCAGCCTAAGCATCGAGCGGGCCCTCAAAAAGGCCCTTTTTGAGGTCCAAAAGCTTCCAATGAAGGTTCTGACACCTTCAATGGAGGGTCCAATGATGCTTGGGAGCCTGCGAAATACCTTGCGATGGAAAAATCATTGAGTTAGACATCAAGAGAGTGCTGGCGGCCAGTTCTACTTGCCAGCCGAGAGTTTGAGCATGATCTGCGCAGCCATGCGGATGACATACCGTCAAGAAAGCAAACGGCACTGTATTCGACTCTCGGCAAATTCCAACCGAGTCATGTTTATGTGCAGAAGCCACTATTGATGAGTAGAGCTTTGCGCGTCACTTCATCTCCACCCCCGGTGGGAGAAACGATTTGGACCCCTCCACACTGCACCTCAAAGGGAGAATCTACCGGGTAGCTTCTTGATTCGGGCCCGGTAGTCCCATGTTTGTTGTTTTGAGGGAACCCTTTGTTGGTTGGTTTTGAAGTTCAACCTGATCCCCCAATTTTGAGACAGTCACGATATGTGACAACTAGTACGTATCCTAGTTGGTGGGAAATTTAGCGAGCTCCATCTCCCTTCCAACCTCTCATCTCAAGCTTTGCCCGCTGGGGCCCTGGCACTCAAGGCTCCTGAGCCATGGATGTGGGAGGCTGGGCCAGGATATATTGTTTGTTGATTTTGCTTTCCCTTTGGAAATTTCTTCCCCATCCCGGCATTTCCTGCAACAGAAGCTCTGAAGACGTTCCACAGAGGATTTTGGCCCCAAGTAGGAACACCCGTTGAGGAAAGGATGTGAGGGACCCCTTAGGCAGGGTCTCTCTGCTTCTAGAAAATCCCTTTATTTGCTAAAACGCCCTGTCAACCATTTCCCCCTCAACAGTTGGCAGGTTCCACTGAAAATGTCCGCTTTGAAGGACCGAAATCTGAATTTCCACCAATGCCCCCTTCCAAAAGCCCCAACCCACCAACCCCAGATCAAACAAAGACAAATATATCCATAGGTGTCCTTTGTGGGAAACTAGATGGCCCTAGTAGTTGATTGAACCACCAGGTAAACCAGGGCCCTCTATTTTCAAACCAAATCAACCCAAAAAGGACACCTATGATGAATATATCCCTTACAGTAATACATCACAGCAATATCTAGTCGTTTCGAGTCTCAGGGCAGTGGCATTGGGTTTCGGTCGTAGAACCCTCTGGCGCCCGTCGGTTCCAGCGCTCCCAGCGCTCCTGTCCGCTTGCGCAGCTGCGAGCCATTCCATCGCCAGTGCAGCGGTCGCATCCGGTCGATCCTCGCGAGCCTAGGGAATGTGCGGCTGACGTGCACTGACCAATAGCGAATAAAAGAACAATGGTTGCGATGGGACGCCATTAGTTACCAAACCAAACGCACATCCACACAAACACACAAGCCCACATCCACATAAAAAAACAATAACGCAGCACACATCCGCACATATCATATAAACAAACAAACAAACAAACAAACAAACAAACATACAAACAGGCAGGCAGGCAGACAGAAAGAGAGACAGACAGGCAAACAGGCAAACGGACAACGGAAAGACAATCAAACAAACAAACAGACAAACCAAACCAAACCAAACCGAACCTAACCAAACCAAACCAACCAAACCAAACTACCAAGCAAAAAAGCAAACAAACAAAACACACACACGGACACCCACTCACAAACAAAGAAATCAACAAGCACACAAGGAAACAAACGCTCACGGGCGCAAGCGCACAAATGCGCACAAAGAGTGCTCCAACACACAAACAAGCACACTGAAAAACACACAAACAAGCACACGCACACAAACAAACACGCAACACTCGCAACCACACATAAACACACACCAAACACACAAACACACAAACACACAAAAACACAAACACACAAACACACAAACACACAAAAACACAAACACACAAACCCACGAACAGGCAAACACTCACACGCACACAAACGCACAAAAACACAAACACACAATCAGACACAAACACACAAACACACAAACACACAAACACACAAACACACAAACACACAAACACACAAACACACAAACACACAAACACACAAACACACAAACACACAAACACACAAACACACAAACACACAAGCACACAAGCACGCAAGCACGCAAGCACGCAAGCACGCAAGCACGCAAGCACGCAAGCACGCAAGCACGCAAGCACGCAAGCACGCAAGCACGCAAGCACGCAGGCACGCAAGCACGCAAGCACGCAAGCACGACGCAAGCACGCAAGCACGCAAGCACACAAGCACACAAACTCACAAACTCACAAGCACACACGCACACAAGCAGACAAGCACACAAGCACACAAGCACACAAGCGCACAAGCACACAAGCACACAAGCACACAACCACACCAACACACCAACACACCAAGACACCAACACACCAACACACCAACACACCAACACACCAACACACCAACACACCAACACACAAGCACACAAGCACACAAGCACACAAGCGCACAAGCCCACAAGCACAAAAGCACACAAGCACACAAGCACACAAGCACACAAGCACACAAGCACACAAGCACACAAGCACACAAGCACACAAGCACACAAGCACACAAACACACAAACACACAAACACACAAACACACAAACACACAAACACACAAACACACAAACACACAAACACACAAACACACACACACAAACACAAACACACAACACACAAACACACAAACACACAAACACACAAACACACAAACACACAAACACACAAACACACAAACACACAAACACACAAACACACAAACACACAAACACACAAACACACGAACACACGAACACACGGACACACGAACACACACACACACACCACGCCCATGCCAGCGCTCGCACATCTGTACCTACATGCGCACCTAAATTTCACTCAGTTCAGGAGACAGGTGTGTGATGCAGGGAAGAGTCTTACAAGCTGCCAACCAGGCCAACCTTGTTCACATTCAAAGTTCAATTCGGATTTCTCCGGCGGACCGTGCTACTTTGGGGTGACTTTCCTTTGAGTAAGGAAATACTGTTGAGGCGGTTCCTCCAGCTACTAGGGCCCTTCAAGCCAATCCGAAGTCAACATGGATTTTCTGAAAAGGACAATATTTTTGGTCTGAAGAGGATCTGAATTTCGTCCTGAACTCGACTTCTAGTCTGCCTTTGCATTTGCAGTCACAGAGCTTGCGACCCCAAAGACAGGCGAATGCAAGGCGCATCCCCCGCCTTTGTCAGCAGCTGCTTGACGCAAGCGATGGCCACATTTGAGGCCTTGCGGGGAAGGGAAATGAAACTCCTGCAGGGGGTGCTACCATTTTGCCAATCTTGGAAGTGGACGAGGCGCCTTTTCAAAACGATAGTCTTCCAACACCCTTTTGTCCACATGAGTTGTGGCATCCTATCGAGAACCCCAAAAAAGTGCACCGCCAATGCGAGAAGCTCTCCCAGGCCTGGTAGCCAGGATGGTCTTGGGCACAAATTGGCCTGTCAGTGGCTACGCCCACTACAAGATCCCGACATGCGCTGCTTGTTGGGAATTCCCTTGTTGGGAGCCATGTCAATGTCCGCAGCATCCTTCCGAAGACGCGAACTTCGACCCCGGCCGGCCCTTCATAGCTTTGAGCCCTTCTTAAGCTATGGACGAGCTTATGGATGAGCTTATTCAGAAGCTATGGATCAAAAGAGTATGTATGGAAGCTTCTGAAGAGGTTCTTAAGACATGGCTACAAAGAAGCACATGATTCAGCTTCTCAAGCCCTTCTCAAAGGCTCCCGACCGAAATTCACACCTCCCGCCTGTAGGCAGGCTCCTTGTCCTCCTCGCAGATCAGCACCTGGCCCAAGCGCTGATTCGCAGCCCACATGGTGTGATCTCCGGTTTGGCTTCCCTTCGAAACATCAGGGGAGCTCAAACACGGCACCCCCAGTCAGCCTATTCACCATAGTGGCTTAAAAAGGGCTTGCCTTATTTGGGGTGTCTGAAAACTTGGGGATCCCAAAACACCCGGCTTCTTGTGGTTTGCCTTTTAGTCTAGCCACAGCTGATTCCCCGAAAAGGACACACTAGCTTTGAGACATTGGCACTTCACCAGCCAGCCTGCCTCCAAGCGCGATGGGTCGCGGTCATGGAAGGGGAACTGACCGAAGAGTGCCAGGTACAATACCACCTCGGCAACGACTGGTCGGACCCCTGATGAAGGCTCCGCCCCCAAATTGCCGGGGGCATGAATTTGCAAACCGGCCGTCATTAACTCGGCTCTGGTGGCTCATCCGCATTGACTTGAGCCATAAAGGCAAGGTTTGGTCTTTATCTTGGCGTGTTCAAACGCCCAGGACCCCTAAAACTGGTTGGCGTCCGTTCGGCCTTTTGGAAAGGAGGTTCCCCATTTCTGGCCTGACCCAATGCCTCCTTCCGAAGGATTTCACTGCCAAACGGGGGTTGGGGGAGGGAATCAGGCTCCAACCACAAGGAAGCAACTAAACCATTTCCAAAGCAACAAGGACAAACACAGGGAAATAACAAACACTAGCAAAGAAAAAAACCAAACAAACAAAGACACAAACACACAACACAAACTGGTCCCTCAGATTGAGTGCCAGTCTAAGAGGCGGACACCTGCTGCCCAAATATCCACGCTGGGAGAGTAGTCGTGAAACCACACCTCGACCAGCCGAAACATTAGGGCTGCTCCCATTCCTGCTGTGGATGGAGAAAATCCTGCACTACTTTGAAACCAGGGAAACCATTTGTTGGTATTTTCGGGGGAATCATTCCAGGGTTTTTTAGGCGGTGCAGGATTTTGTCCATCCACAGTAGGGGAAACAAAGACCTAGGGCCCACCCGCAGGAAGGTTTCGTAAAACCTTCTTAGAAGGGGTTCTAAGAAGGGTTTGGAGAACCTTCTTTGGGGGTAGCTGGGCCCGAATGTCCTACCTTGCTCCTGGCACAATGGTATAAGCACTTGGCCCCTGATGTGAGCCACAGTCATTCGTTGATCCTCACTCGGAACCTGGTGAGAAACCATCCCGCGCTTTCGTTTGAAAAACAAAAGACTGGTTGGGGGACAAACATGCAACGGTCAATATCTATTGTACTATATGAGTAAAGGAGGGAGACGTGGGGCACAATCACAGCACTATTCTTGTCTTGAACACATACCACCATACTACCCAGACTCTATGCTCTTCGCCGACCAGACGGGGCCACATATCGTGAATGACTCACCCGACCTTGAAATAGGGGGCCCAGAGAAATAAACCTTGGATGATGTTGCTGCAGCACTCACTGGTCACTCACTGGTTACATGCCAGGCGCACAGAGCAGATTGCGATGTGGATGTCTCAGGTCAGCACAGGAGTCAAAGCCATTGCGCTCGACATGCCGCTTAGATATCAGCTTGCCTGAAATAGGGGGTGGTTATTCTTTGAACTCCGTTGCAAAGAACCCGAATAAGGGTATCCCAGAAAAAAGACAAACCCATATTCCTCATATTCCTCTACTGTTGGCCCCAAATGCAAGTAGAGCCTCGCGGGGATGCAATTCCACAAAAAGTAATCCGCATCTGAAATAGGTTGTACCACTATTGAAGACCAAGGCTTCATTCATCTGGGTTCTGTGAGTGTAGTGTTGCTCGCCAAGCTTCCAAATGGGCTGTCCTCCACAACGCAGTTGGCCAATCCCAATTCCTCGTCCCTAAATAAGCAAACCACAAAGGACCCACAAAAGGAAACAATCATGGAAGTGCAGGGGCCTCCCCACAAAACATGGTCTCCCAAAACCCTGCTGTTCGCCCAGACAAGGCAGTTGCAAGATCCCCTGCCCAAACCCTCCACGCGCCTCCGGCGCGCAGTAGTAGGCGGTGCCGCAGACCAGGTGCTCCAGCGGCGGCTGGCCAAGGCGCGGCAAAAGGCGGATCCTTGCCCAGCGAACCGAACACAAAGGGGTAGCCCGTGTTCACCAGTGTTGGGCCTGTTGTATTTCTTCCTGGAACATCACGCCAAAACGAACCTCATCCAAACGCCGCCACCGAAAGGTGATGATTGAACCAGCTGAAAAGGGAAATACGGAGACCCTGATTTCGGTATGAACCCAGGGCCGCAATTCGAATGTCAGCACGCCCAGAGAGCGGTGCTTCAATCAGTCTGACCTTGTTCTAGAACTGTAGACAATCAACTCTGATCCCAACTACATGCTTCCGGCCTCCTGCTGACACATCCTGAACCTGCCAAACGACGAAAGGCAGTTCTCAGTGGCTAATAGCCGTTGCCCGACTCTGCGACTTGCAACAAAAATATGGGGTCCTGTTTTGGGGAACGCCAAGATGGTTTTCCTCTTGGATTGGTACCCTGGAAAAAGACACACCCGTATCTCTCCGAAGGATCTCCCCTTTTTCTATCACTATTGCTCAGCCCAACCATTTTTGTTGCCATCTGGTCTTTGGGTGTACCCTTACTCACTCCAAACAATTCTATTTCAATCACCAACCTAAAGCTGACATGCAGCCAAAACGGGAGGGTATGGTTCCCCGGGGTGCAATTCATCAGCCTGCGCTGACGAACCGCACAGGTCGGCATGGTCCATCCAGGCTTTGCATCAGTTAACTTGGCGACAAGGAACGAGACCGCAATGGAAATATCTTTCCAAAGGGGAAATGTGGGTTGGCTTACTCTGCAACTTATACTGTAGCTGGGCTGCCCTTCCGTAATATGGAAAGACGTTGTTGGATTGGACTAGACGAAACCCAAAGGAGCATCATAAATTTTGGAGGGTTCCACATCCATTTGGAGACGCGGTTTCACCAACCTGAATGAGAAATCCCCATGAGACCCTGTGTGTTCTCTGCCAGATTTCACCCAAAACGAAGCTCCAAACATGGATGTGTCCTTTTCAGGGGAACTTCCCCGATGAATGGCCTCCAAGAGGTAGAGTTAGTAAGGAAACAAGCGCAGCTGCTTTGATAACCCCCGATCAGTCCAAACAATGGCCCCGCGGTTTCCTATATTTCCCGTTAAAACATCACCCCACCTGGCAACTCCATTTGAATTCGCCCAACGTGTGATATCGAAAAGCAGCAAACCGGGACATACAGGGAGCCCAGTATACTAATAACTCAGCTGCTTCAATAACCCCCACAAGTCTGACAACTCTCAAGTAGCAAATATATAGATCTTGGGAGGGCCTGTTACCATATATATATATATATATTGTATGATCTATGTATTGCCAACATGTTTGTCAGTTGCTCTTTCAAGCAACCAGTCACAGCTATATTTGGAGGCTGCAGTGGAGTCTAAGGGCGGATTTAGTGCACTTACGCCACCAAAAGGGAAAACAATGGCACTGAACTGGATCCCATTCAGCATTTTATCCTTTTTCGGGAAGGGCTCCAAACTCCCCTTTGAACATCAAGCAACCCCAGCAGGGTTTTTGGGGACTCGAACCGAGCAGCGGAAGTCATCCCACTCCCGAGCCGAGCTCGCGGCATGAAGGAGGAGGAGCTCTCCATGCGCACGGCTAAGCCAAAGTCGATGAGCTGGCAAACATCTCGCTGTGTTCACCCCACTTTTCTTGGACCACAGCTGGGGTAGGCAGGAAAATACGATCTTCAGATTCTGCTGCATTGGACTAACATATAGCAAATTTTGGAGACCCCAGTTTGGGTGGGTGGGTTGAAAGGGTAACCACAGGACACCAGAACCATTTTGGGGTTTGCCCTTTAAAACACACAGCTGCGCTTCGTGTCTTGGGGGCTTGGTTTTTGTTTATCTGGAAGTGACATGCCAAGGAATCTCCAACCCTGTCAGCCATTGTAGGGCAACGGGGTTCACGTTCTCAAGGGCTGATCAAATTTGGTCGCTTCAATGAGGGATTTGCTGGTGGATAGACAAATATGAGGGTGTATCTGTCCAACAACTCGCTGTGAGCATTGTGTGGTTTCCACGAAAGGGCTTCAGTTTCCTTTTGGTTTCGCTTGAACTCCACCCGCACAAGGGTAACTCATCGCCTTTTTCGGTGAACCTAGCAAAATAGACATCAGCGACCACTTCCCTGTCACACCAGACGACATCACAAATCGTAAATTTAGCACATTGAAGCCTTCGCTGCAGGAGTTGCTTTTGACGAAACACTGAGACAAAATGGGCCCCACAACAGTGGTCCCTGTACGGTTTCTCCCCAAAATCGAGAGTGATCTTTTCCGAGCGTTCCGCGACAAGCAAAGGCTTACGTCAAAGCGGCTTTGAAGTGTTTCCGAGACAGCACCTTTCACTTTCCGCTCTGATTCCGACAGGTTGAACCTGTCGAGGACCTCAATATGGCGCCCTCTACCCTGTGTAGGCCAACGCAACATGGTGTTGTCTTGCTTCATGAACCCTTGAAAACAACACCCAAAGGATTCGTACTGGATGTTCATTTTGCCGGGTTGGGGGAGTGGACGTTTTGTGGTCCCGTCAGCAAGACCGCAACACCTGCCGGCCTTGATGTGCCACCGCCGAGTTTTGGCCGGGTCATCCAACAGCATGATGTTCTCTGCCTGGAAACTTGCACAACTAAAGGATACATTTGGTCCACCGAAAAACACACCTTTTCCAGCTTATTTCCAGGATGTGAAGCAGGGTGGTTTTCTGATGTATCTTTTGAGGAACCCTGTTCCATGTGCTCCATTTGGTGTGAATCAGGGAAAACCTTGGTTGACACGCGATGCACCATGTTCCGTCAGGAAACAAACAGAAGCCGGCCTCAAAAGGCTCCCTATATGCTATTCTTAAACGACCCGACTTGAAGGAAACTCACTTTACCTTGGCAACCAAAAGGTGATTTGTAAAGCCGCCTTGATGACAAATGTAGAGAACCCTGTGTTGGATTCCTGAAGCGTGCTTACCATTTACAAGTTTGGGGCCCCCACTATGGGCCGTGTTTCTTTGCTTTCAAAGTAACCCCTGAAAGGGTACTCTCAGAAAATGACCAGCTGCATCAAGACAAGCAACTCGTCACTTCGGATCGGATTTTACAAGTTAGCCGACGCGGGTGCCGCAACTAGGTTTGGCTCCGCAAACCTAAGAACATTGAGATCCCTTTACAGTGCTCACGTGATGCTGGCGCAAATGGATTCGGTAAAGGGAGGCCAAACAAAGGAAGCCAGGTTGGTCAACATTTACTAGCTCGGAGAAACCTGGTTTGCTCGCAAACTCTGAGAATGTGTCACCCGTATGCATATGTACATGTGGATGTATAGAGTATATATATATATACATATTATGGTATGCATACATAACAACGACACGTGTTGACAGAGCAACTTGACTCCTCAAAACGTTGAAAGAACCTCCGGAAGATGTTACCACAACCTTTTTCTTGGGACAGCAATCTTGCCTCTCCAACAGCATGATCACTGCCTTTTGAACATGTTCCATTCCGTCAATGAAGAACAGACCACCCCGCTCATTTGGCAACCACCGGGGTTCAAACATGCCAAACTTACAAAAGCACCACATTTCTCACCGCTTGAGTTCAACTGCCACAAAGTTCGAAGCCTGAGGGTCCTGAGTCTATGGAGATCCTGGGTTCCCCCGTACAAGCCGACAGGGCCCAACCTTTGCGCGCGCCTTGACGTCCCGATGCACGATTCGGCGTGCGTGAAGGTGCTGCAATGCCTGTTCGGCACTGACCTTTGGGTTCAACAAGTGGACCATTGAAGAATAGGGGTTGAATTCAAATACATCCACCACTGTTTGCCTAAGGAGCTTCATCCTCTACACTGGGTCAACCATGTTTTTAGAGGGCTGGGGACTGTGGCAGTGCACCTTGTGGTATATGTTGATCTGGTGTTGCATGCAAGTCTGTATCTATTGATCGAATAAGTTGTGTAAACATAGTACCTGATTAGGAAACCATGTGTTAATTTGAAATTGAAACAGAATGACTATCAATTTTGATTATGAATCAACATCTAGATTCTAATTGGTGTATCTCCGCATTGACATCTAATTAAATTTGAAGTCAGCCATAAACTGAGTAAACTTTGATACATATGTTAAGTATAGCTTCAGAAGGAAAAAAACAATCAGAGGTCAACAAATCGGGTTTTTACTTACCTGCCCAGCACTGCCATGGCCATAAAACACCGTAAAACAGAGTGTTTTGTTGCGTTGTTCATATTCAATTCACATCTCCGCCAACGACCGCTCTGGAAAGTTCAATTAGAATTTGAATATTGTTTCAATAGGATTCAAGAAGCAAATACTTGTTCCGAATCGAATTGACAACTGTATATCTTAAGTTTAGAATTTTGATAGACGCTACTCGATTGGAGTTTTAATAGACTTTGACAGGAAAGAACCCAATCATAATCATCATGCGTAGGAATTCCCTTCAAGAAGAACAAATCCACTGGATCAGCCCCACCCAAAGCCAACCACCAAGGAACGGCAAAAACACAATTTCTCCCAGACCTCTTAACAGGTGTCTGAGAATGAGTTGTTTTCTGTGTTGGGCTTTGGGCAGGGCTGATCCAGTGGAAAGACTGTCTGAGAAGTGGCGTTTGTGGTATTCTAGAGTTTTATGTGTTGTTGAAAGCACAGGAATGCATTAAAACAGCAGAACAACAAACATGACACACATCCGAGAACAAACACGCAATTTACACACGAACAAGTGCATTGCAGCAGTCTTCTGTGTTGTATTCTTAATGGAGTGTGGGGATCCCAAATCCCAATCTGGAATCCATAGTGGAACACCACTACAAAGGAAACCACGGAATCCATGTGGTAGAACATTTAGGGATCGACTTTGAACAATGTACGAGTAGTTTGTCACCCGAGCCTGTGACCCCGACTACAAATGATATGCTGAGGTGCACTAAATGACGAGCACGCGTAAAAGGACTCATGATTTAAGCCATGATACAGTACGTAGGTAAAGTGATGTAGGTAAAGTAATGTACCCAAGCTCGTTAGACACTTTGTTAAACAATTTACACATATGTCACTTGAGAGATCCCAGTGTGGGATATGTTTGTCATGGTCCTGACCTGACCAAGAAATAGACACAGAAACGCTCATCCCAAACAACTACAAGGTGTGGTCAAAATGAGCCCGTTGTAGGACCCGAGCCCGTTGTGGGACCCCCGTTAAAAGGCGGCACATGTTTCACCCCTCAGGTCCACTAACATTTTGTTTCTAAGCTGAAGGAGACCTTTTGGGGCCTGGATCAGCTGTCTGCCGATCTGGGCGAGGCAGCCCTCAGTCACCGCCTCAGCGAGTTTCTTACCGCTGTGCGGTAAGCGCGGAGTTCTGAGGCCTTTTACCCCTGAGAATAACAATTCAACTTAAACATTTGGCTTACGTAGTGTTTCTTTAATCAAATGAAACTTTAGCAATTCCACCTTGCCTCCAGTTGAGCACTGAAGCATTGCCGATAGGTTGACAAGCCGGTTCCATGCTCGGTGTGTAAATCAACGCGAACCTGCCGTGTGTCGGGATCCCTGACTTTGAGAATTCAAGTTACATGTGCGTTGCGGACTCGAACAAATAGGCAGCTTTCCTCCTGGACACGGCAAGCTTTGGGTTCCGTACGTAGTTCACACTTGATCGAATCTCACGAGGGAAATCAACAGACTCAGAGTTGTACTACAACCTGCAATTCGCTCCACGGATTGATTGCTTCATGAATACACCGTGAAACCTTGGACAGATTCTCGTGTTTAACCCAAGGTTTAATACAGAATCCTCGGAGCATTGGTAGCAACTGCTCAAACCACCTTGCCTTTGAAACGTGTTTTTCATTTTTTTGAGGAGACCACCTTCTTGCTGAAATATCATCTAAAAGAGAAGCTCTCTGAACTCGGCATCTGCCTCTCCCAGTGCTTCCAGAGTGAGTGGCCAGAGAAAACCGCCCATGCCGAAAGGCTGGAGGAAAAAGACCAGAAGGGTCGCCTACCTTTCGTGGCCTTACCCCAAAAAGGGGGGGGTTCGATGGTTTGGACGCTGGGGGTACCGGTAGCCCCATGGTTCGAAAGGGACCGGGAAGCCGCCGATTGCATTGCCCATGGTCAATTGCCAGGCTTCGGGGTGGTCGGTTGCGCCAAAAAGAAAAAACCTGAACCTCGGCGTAGGCTCAAAAATGGAACCCTGTTGCCACAGATTTAATACTGCGCCACATATTACCTCAGGTTCTAAATCGCCAAACCGCCGATCCGGGGCACGAACAATGCGTGGATTGGCCAGCGCCTCGTCAGTTCGCAACACCGATTCATTGACTTAGTGACTTCTATGGAATCGATCAAAAAAGCGACCGAAAACCTGGGCCGCCCATTTAGAAGCCTCAAACAAAAAGGCGCAAATCTGCTCGTTTCAGCTGGTCCTGAACGTATGGACTTGCCGCGGAGGAGGACCTAAATCATTGGAGAAATAGAAACTTGCTGGTGCGATGGGTAGGGAATGAGGGAATGAATCTGGAGATTCCCCTAAAGGAAACCATAGGGGATGG